CCATCACTCTTAATATAATTTGATTGGGATTAATGTTGATGCTTAATTGGGATTGAGTTGCGTGAACCTTCTCAATGTTTAACAACCACCATGATAGTTAAATAAAAATTTATTCCTTTATTGTAGGAAAAAATTGGCTTTATGCAAAACTGTAACCATAGAGCTTTCCACCAGCCATATATGCATGTAGTGATAGCATTATTCTGTTCATTACTCTATGTGTTATATTGCCAGCATATTCCATGTGCTGACCCATTTCGGGCTGCAACGTTCATGTTGCAGACTTTTCAGACGACGAGTAAGGTGCCTTAGGTCGTGATCTTTCACTCAGTGATGCCGTTGGAGTTGATGGACTCACTTTATCTTCCAAGTATTCCGTTGTTATTATTTTAGATGGCCTTAAACCATATTTATTGTAATAAGTTCTCTTTTGAGACATTCGATGTAATAAGTGAGTGATTGCTACTCTGTTATAAATCATTCAAGTACTGTGCATGTCAGCATTACCGATCCAGGGATGACACTGAAGCATATAGATCAGTCTGTCTGAGGTCTGGTCGCTACAATCTTATAATAGTGAACTAAGAGCATCTCTAGCAGACCCCGCATCCCGCCAACCAACATTTCACGTTTGTAGTTCGCGGAAAAATTGTTTTTGTAGTCCTCAGCGAAAAGCCGTAGAGGCAGACCCTGCAAAGCCGACCTGCATCCTGTTTTACGGGTCGACTTTGTAGGGTCTGCCTCTGCGGCCGTCCTCCCCCCGGCCCACAAAAAATAAATTTGCACCTCGATTTGCATTTCTTTGCATTTTTAACCACATTGGATACATAGGACATCACCAAATCTTTGCTAGAAAAGCAAGACCAAAGAAAACAAGAACGACAAGTATGCATTTTAGAAGATTTTCAACTTCCATAACTGCTCCCACTAGTTGAAGCAATATCTTCTCCATGCATTCATTGTTGATCTGCGGATTCTTGATCTTACATTCTTCATTCTCCATCTTTGGTTCTAAGAAAGAAGTAGATGTTGCTTCCCCTCTAGTTGCACATCCATGCGTTTCATTGCCTTCGATTGCACTAAGGAGTGCACGAACGTCTATCAGTTTTCTTTCTATCAATAAATCAATGTATTCGCCTTCTCAAAACCAAAATGAGCATCCATCTTCCTACATGCATGATGAATGTTCGAAATGAGCAAACATAATGAGCTATCGAAATGAGCCAAATGCAAAACAACACGTATCCCGTCGTTTTCGCATTTGAAGAACACCCATCCGGGGTGCTTCGGCGTGCCCGAAGTCAGCCGTAGCACTGTCTGCGAGCAGTCGTCGCACTGTATGAGCGGCATCGGCGAGCCATAGAGTCTCTGCGAGGGCCGAGCCCGGCAGACGGACGGCCAAATCCATGCCGGCAAATCATCAGCGGCGGCGAGCGGACGAACCCGCACCTGCATGCGGCGATGTGCCTTTGACGGGGCTACGCGAGGTGCTCCCGACCATTCCATAGCTTGGCGCAGCCGTCGGCGGCCGGGAAAGCCAAATCCGGCCGCCCGCGATGAAGCGCCGCAGATCCGCAAGGTCCCGGCCCGCCGACGCAGGAGGAGGGGGAAGGGGGGCGGAGGGCAACCTCGTGCGTGTGGAAGCTTTTTGGCGTGCTCCCGCCGGCCACTTTCACTGAAATCTTGGGCGGCGGCGGGACAGCGGGACGAGGGGGAGAAGGGAGGTGGTTGATGGGGAAAAATGCGGGCTGAAATGTCCCCCCCCCCACCAACCGCTCCCGCTATACGCAGGGCACCGACGGGCCGGGGGGAGGGGGACCCGCGAATACGCGGGTTGGGGACGAGTTTTTGCCGCGCCCCTCAAAATTTTTTGCGGGCCGGTCGCGTTTGCGGGGTTTGTTCGGGCGGGATTTTCACCGCCGGCCCGCATTTTGACGGTTATTTTGCGAGTCGGGGCCTTTTGCGGAGTCTGCTAGAGTTGCTCTAAGGGAGTATCATTTTTCTATTGACAAGCATGCGCGCCTTGCGCGCCTTATGGTTTAGTGACTACTTCGTCGATCTCAGTGGTGGACATAGCTTTCTGGTCTGGGTCCAATATAATGTATATGCATTTCTTCCCTTTATGCTCTTCTAGCTTCAACTTGAAAGGATCACAACTTTGTGGATGGTGGATGGATACCTTTCTAATCGAGCATTTTACTATCCATTGTGGTCATTAGGCACTATCATTGCAACAAGAAATTCACCCCGAACATAATTATAATGGTGTCATTTATCTTCTTCTTTTTTATACGTACATATCTCAAGACTTGTTACTGTTCTTAATACTTCTTTCTGGAAGTGTGTCACAGTCAAACTTCTCTATAACCATTTCATCATGGTGGTGGTTATAGACTCGACCTATCAGCGATGAAATCTCCGATTTAAGGTCCCGCATGTCTCCACGGTGAGACATCATATCTGTCGAGCAAGAAGACGTCTTACGGTGTCTTCATCTTCAGTAACGTTCAAACTCCACGACTTCAGAAACGCTGGATTAATTTTACCTTGATTTGCTCCTTTTTTTTTGCGAAATTGTTTTGCTCATTTCATGCAATCTCGATGCATGCATACCAAAGCCCATATATCCCTCAGAAAACAGGAGGTGCAAAAGCTCAGGCCACAGAAGATCTCGAGCACGCCATGATGATACATACAGTGAAGATTTTCCTGCGCAGCGTGCGAAATGGAGAATGGCCCCCACGTCTTGAAAGCCGCTCGTGGGGTTCACGCGAACCGGCGCAAACAAACTTCATCTGGCCCCACCTGTCAGACACGGCAGCTCCTGTTCATTCATTCCCTCCGTCGCAGGCCGTCTCGTAGCGGGTGAATTTTACCAGCCCCGCCGAATACTACCATTCAGCCACCGTATCCCTCGCTCTATCAGTAGAAATTAATAACAAAATCTTTTTTTCCCAAGAATATGACAGATCGTGATTATTTTCTGCTTGTACTCATTGAAGCAGTAGAATATTTTTTTCTCTCGAAGAAAAGTAGTGGTAGGGGAAATCGACAAAAAATAAATGAGCACATTTTTTTAGCTTAGCTGGTGGGTGGAAACCGAAAAGGCAAGTCCCCCCCTCTTGTGACGTATAGTCATCTATCTTGACTTCCACAAGCATTATTCCAGCATCTTTCGGCACAAACCCTTAGATTTCACCGTTTTTAGCAGACACCATTCCACATTTTTATGTATGTTTTTTAGGAAAGTGTCCATATATATCTATATATATCTAAATGTACATTTCTATATATCATTTTTAGGGAAAGCATTTATACATATCTATTTTACATGGTATTAAGTTGGAGCAAGTCCACTTTGTTAACTATTTTCATGTTTTTAGAACGCCCATATAACCTTTAACATTCAGGGGGGAAATTCGGCCGCAGATGTATTATACCTTGAATACATAACCGTGAAGAAGAGGTGTATTGCAGTTGTAGGTTTACAATATATTACATGTTCGAGGAGACGCTAAACCAGCCACCTCAACAATGATTGATGAGTTGACTGATGTTTTGGGTAATAGATTACATTATATTCAAGTCGATGTCTTTTAATAATCTAGAGAAATATATACACAACGGTGTACACATCGTGATGCCACGCCTAATGATGAGGTGTTTTATACTCCAATACTAAAATAACTTGACACCTCATTGCATCTCTTCTTATAATAACCAAAAAAAAAAGAATAAGAACCAATAAACCGCGATCGTGAATCCTTAAACCCTTTTCAGGGATGTATCTCCAAATAATTAAAATATCAGGGGCATATCCGTAAGGACGCAATACCGCCCAGAAACGGAACCGAAAGCTAATGATTCATGAGGGGCTAAAGCATTAAAAATATCCCTCCATTACCATTACTCCCTTCCATCTCCCTCCCAACTTCTCCTCCCCCCTTCGTCTCCAGTTCCGACTTCTTCACTTCTTCTTCCTCGCGCCGCCGCTCCCCGCTCGCCTCCGATCACGAACTCGGCCCCGTCAATGGTCGCCGGCGGCTGGCGTAAACCCCCGACGGACTCGTGAGAGGATCTCCTCTTCGGCCTGGCCATGGTACATCCGTTCTTGATCTCCCCTGTTTTTCTCCGGTCATAATTCCCCGCCGGAGTTGGAGCTTTATCCATTCCAGTTCCAGGCGACGTGGATGGAGTTCCGTTACGTTTCGGTGCTTTTTTTTTCCTGGGAGGAGATGCGTAACGCCTCCTCCCTGAATTCGCGCTGCTCTCCGCCGCCTTTTTGCCGAGTCGTTGGGTTCATTCATAGCACGGACGGCGGTTCAGAAAATCGAATCCCTCCGAGCTCGTGGGTTCCGGCCGCTGAATTCTCTATCAGAATCCGCGCGCAGAGCTTTCCGTGATGAGACGATGATGATGATTCGCGGAGAATTGTTTCGTGTAGTCTTCTTGTATGGGATTCACTGAATTGCGTTCAAGATTGGATTTTTGGAATTCTCGGAATCAAACTGTTTTGGGGGGTTTTATCACCTTTCTCGCGAGGAGTCAGCAGCCTGGCCGGCGCTCCGGCAATTCTCGTCGACGCACTTTCCGTTTTAGAAAATTCTGTAGCTATGGCAGGTGCTCTGCTTGCGAATAAGAAGTCAGGCAGAGGTTAAATGAGTATCCATAATTTGAAATCTCTTTCCGTTTCGTAGACCGAGGTCGTGCCAATTCGGTTGGAACAGCGAAATTCTCTGTGAAAATTGTATCTCTTCACGCACGTTTTCTGTTTTTTTAGTTGTTTTTTCTTTTGAGTGCGACAGAGGTTGTTTGCTGCTGTTGCAGAGTTCTTAACCCCGGTGAAGGTTTCTTTGCTTCGGGGCCACCCTTACAGTAGATTTCAGAGCGCGCCTTGGCATAGCTTCACCGTCCTCCCTTGGTTCATCCGATCGAGTTTCACATTGCTTTACCTCGTTCCTGCCTCTGCCCTCTCTGAAACCTCTGCACATGTATGTACGATGATGCGCTCGCTCTCTGTTGGTTCTGACGGCTCGTCCACGCAGGGTCCGGCGCCCGGCGACTCGAAGCGGTTCTCCGGCGTGGTGCCGCCGGCGGCGCTCGTCTTCCTCGCGCTGGTGTTCGTCGCCGGCGCCATCGTCACGCTCCATCACAAGGAGGTGCGTGCTGTTTGCTGTGCTGTGGATAACTGAACATGATATGTTGATGGTGATCACATTTCGCGTCACACGAATGAGGCGCCGTGATGCTGCAGAAGTGTCACGCCTGACCTGCCCGGTTGTTTCCCTGCAGAACCTGTCCATACTGCAGGTGCAGCCACGAGAGCTGGCCGCTAACGAGGACTCGTTCAGGTCCGTGCCCCCGGCCAGCGATCTGCGCGTCGCCGGGGACGACGTGACCGAGACGCCGTCGGCGGAACAGGCGACGCCACCGGTGGAACAAACGACGACGCTGGTGGAGCAAACGACACCGCCGGTGGAACAGGCGACGACGCAGGTGGAGCAAACAAGGCCGTCGGTGGAACAGGCGACGACGCCGGTGGAGCAAACGACGCCGCCGGTGGAAGAAGCCCCTGACATCTGCGAGGTCAGTAAGTCAGAGACTCATTGATTTCAGTTTCGGAACACTTGCTGAACAACTGTTGCTTGCAGAGCCAGTGCAGGCCTCCGGGCAGCGAGGCGCTGCCGAGGGGCATCGTGCAGGACAAGTCCAACTTCGAGTTCGAGTCGCTGGGCGGCAACCCCGGGCGGAAGGGGGTCGCCGCCGGCCGGCCGGCGAAGAGCCTCCTGGCGATCCCCGTCGGCATCAAGCAGAAGGCCGTCGTCGACAAGCTCGTCTCCAAGGTGCGCGCCGTACATGCATGATCATTCAGTTTTTGCTGATCAGCTTAATTCTCGATGCTTAACTGTTCGCCGTGATCATGGCCGTGCAGTTCCCGGCGGCGAACTTCGCGGTGATGCTGTTCCACTACGACGGCGCGGTGGACGGGTGGAGCGACCTGCCGTGGTCGCGCCGCGCGGTGCACGTGGCGGCGGTGGACCAGACCAAGTGGTGGTTCGGCAAGCGGTTCCTGCACCCGGACCTCGTCGCCGACTACGACTACATCTTCCTCTGGGACGAGGACATCGAGGTGGACGGCTTCGACCCCATGAGGTACCTCAGGATCGTCAGGAAGGAGGGGCTCGAGATCTCGCAGCCGGCGCTGGACCACCGGTCGCAGATCCACCACCGGCTCACGGCCCGCGCGCGCCACGGCGGGACGGTGCACCGGCGGTTCTACAAGACGGCCGGAGGCGGGAGGTGCTACGGCAACAGCACGGGGCCGCCGTGCACGGGGTGGGTGGAGATGATGGTGCCGGTGTTCTCGCGGGCGGCGTGGCGGTGCGCGTGGCGGATGATCCAGAACGACCTCGTCTTCGCCTGGGGGCTCGACTTCAAGCTCGGGTACTGCGCGCAGGGCGACCGGAGCACGAACGTCGGCATCGTCGACAGCGAGTACGTGCTCCACCGCGGCATCCCCACGCTGGGTGACGGCGGCGGCAAGGGGCCCGCGCCGAAGGCGAAGGCGTCGTCGGCAACGTCGGCGGACAGGTATGCAGTGCGGCTGCGATCGTATAAGGAGCTGCAGATATTCAACAAGAGGTGGAAGGAGGCGGTGGCGGAGGACATGTGCTGGACGGACCCCTACCCGCAGCCGCCGACGCCGACGCCCAAGGGATGACCCACGGTGCCCGCCGCCGGCGATGTCCTTTGCGGTTGAGTAGATGACATAGAAGATACATCAAAATTTACAGGTCTAGAGAGCTTCAGATAACATGTCATGTACAGATCTCTTTCTCCCCGGTCAATAAGATAGGTTCAAAGACGATGTAATTATCATAATTTTCGGTAAAAAGATGGATTAAAAAAAGGGAGTACCTAGAGCTCATCTAGATGAGAAATAATTTGATCTCATTCACTTTGAAAACAAGAACAGATATAACCCATGTCAGCACACACGCATCTTATAGCATCACATCCAATGACTATAAAAGATGAATGAGACCAAATTATATCTCATCTAGATGAGTTCTAGCAAAACTGTTAAAAAAAATGAAGTTTTAAGTTTTTGACATGTCAGGTTTACCATAGCTTTCAGAATACTGAATTGGTGATTTTCTAAAACTCACGGACTCAACTTTTTTTTTGTTTTAAAAAAACTTATCAGGCTTTCCGAAATTGTCCGGCTCAACTTCCACACAATTGAATCAAGCTTTCAGGATTTGATGGTCTCGGCAGTTAGCAACTTGTTGCATTGACATTAGAGCATCTCCAACAGCCGCCCAATGCATGGCGCCGAAAAAATGAGTTTACAGCGCGTAAGTAGTTTTTTTAGGGCGCTAGAAGACGTTTGCTCTAATTGTGCAGCGCGCGCGAATCCAGCGGTCCCAATCAAGCGGTCCCATCTGCAGCAGCACAAAGTTTGCAGCGCGTGCGACCGGGCACACTAAATATGCTGCGCGCGATGCCGTTTTGATGCGCGCGCTGCATTAGTTATAGCGCGCGCGCTTTTTGCGCAGCTGCTGGAGACTTCAAATAGGGTCCGCGCGCGCTAAAAGCAGTTTTTATACCGCGCGCCGCTTATATAGCGCCTCTGTTGGAGATGCTCTTATGTTAGACGATATAAAAACATCAAAATTGCAGGTCTAGTGAGAGAGCTTGGAATAAACAAAACTAGAATCTAAGAAGACATGCATTTAGAAGCCAATCACAAAGGGATTCATGGTGTTCCAACAATCCCAAGCCTGCTTGGCCAAAAGAGCATGTAAAATAAATGGAGACCCCAAAAGCACATGCCTCCATGCCCCGGTGTAATAGTTTTTTTCCTGTGTCAACCAATGCATTTTCCTTTGTTCCTTTTCCTCACTCCACTAGAAGTCCGGAACAATATGAGTTAAATCATCACACAAACCAGCATGGAAATTAGGTACTTTTACATATGGACCGTATATTGGAGATGCTCTAAGTAAGATAGGTCCAAAGACGATGTGATTATCATATTTTTCGGTAAAAAGGTGGATTGATGAAGTTTTCAGTTTTTGACATGTCAGGTTTATCATAATTTTTAGAATACTGAATTAGTGCTTTTCTAAAACTGATGGACTCAACTTTTATTGTTTTAAAAAAACTTATCAGGCTTTCCAAAATTGTCCGGCTCAACTTCCAGAAAATTGAATCAAACTTTCAGAATTTGATGGTCCGAGAAAATCAGATCCGACCATGGTGATGATGCATTGGAAGAACAAATGGCGGTTAGCAACTTGTTGTTGCATTGACATTCTCTTAGACGATATGGAAACATCAAAATTGCAGGTCTAGTTAGAGAGCTTAGAGTTTCAGATGCAATGTGACAATACATATCTGTGATTCTCTTCGAGAATAAACAAAACTAAAATCAAAGAAGATGTGCATTTAGAAGGCGGTCACAAAGGGATTCGCGGTTTTCCAACAATCCCAAGCCTACTTGGACAAAAGAGCATGTAAAATAAATGGAGACTGCAAAAGCACATGCCTCCATGCCCCCGGTGTAATAGTTTTTTTCCAGCGTCAACCAATGCATTTTCCTCCGTTCCTTTTTCTCACTCCACTAGAAGTACGGAACAATGTGAGTTAAATCATCACACAAACCAGCATGGAAATTGAAACACCCATGGCATACATATACAATGCTTGGATAAGATGTTTAATCAAATTTGTATCATCAAAACTTTATGTGGCCACCTCCAGAATTACCATAGCAGAAGCTTGGTTCTCAATACTACACTTCTTACCAAACATAAGGGAACACTTAGACGTGTTCAGCTACTAACATGTTCCCTCTCACACTTAGACAAAATATTATTAATACTCAAAGACTGGTCAAATTCAATTGAAATAACATCACACAACCATCTGCAAAAAGCAAATGCGACCTCCCCAGTGCTTGCCTACCCATGCTAAATTCTTGGAACACTCTCCTATAAATGGCATCGATCAAAAGAATAGAGAGCATCTGAACCAGCAAAAGAAATGAATAAGACAATAGGGGATCGCCTTGTCGGAGGCTTTGGGTTGGGGAATAGGACGCCATCCTTGTCCATGGAAGCATATAGAATATGCAAGAATAGGCGCATAAGTCATAATCCAACTAGTCAAATATTATTTTCGGCACGATGACCAAGGCGCATAACTATAGAGGTGATAGGGCAAATTTACCCTTGGCAAATTTGTTAGTTAGTGGCAAGTAAATCAATGAGTCCAGGAAAGTAAGAGATACATGCAATCGAGATAGAGATAGTTTCCTTCTTTTGATACAAGAAGAGATACAGGAAATCAGGAGAGGGATACTTTCCACTTTCTGGAGGGATAAAAAGGGAATTATGAGGATTTAGAAGAAATGCACTTTACATTGTGGAATTTTATCAAAAAACAAATGCACCTTATATAAAGGAACAGAGGGAAGGTCTAGTCCACTCATTCACAGTCTTTCATCAAATCCATCTTATAAGCACAAAATTTAGACCCTCAACTATATACCTTGTAGAAAATTGCCCTACCAAACATCGAAGTATCTTGTATAGTGTCACCGTCCTTCCTTTCCTTTAATTGAGGGATTGAAATGCTTCACAACACGCATAATATCCTCAGCAAAGCAAAATATTTGAAGAAATTTTCAGAATATTTCTAGATCCAAATGGTCATCAACTTCCTATTGGATAGTTGACTCAATTCAAAAATCTTCAAGTGTGAAATTGGAGTTAAAAACTCACCATGTTTTTTAAACAAAGGATGAGTCCAAATGGATCCTATATTGCATTTTCATCAAAGCATGGAGTAGTAACTTACACAGAAGGCCCTAATAACAAACTAAAAGTTAAAGAGAAGTCCATGAAACATGCAAAGAATACCCTCAACAAAGATGCAAAAATGCACTCGGGTAGAACCTATTTCGCCCGTATTAGGAACGAGATCTCAAACACTACACATCTAGGACTCCACCTAGAAGCAACACTACCTGTGTTTTAGCATCGAGGACATGAGGAATAAACTTTGTCCTCATTCGACTCTAGATACGACAACTTGTTGGAGAAGACAAATAGTCGACAGGCAACGCAACTCCATCAAAAGCACCATCATTGATGCTCACGGTCCCAGTGTGCAACATATCCATGTTTCAATCACAACTAATCCAGCAGGTAACAATGAGCAGCTCCTTTTTTGGAGTACGGGACAACTCCACCCTCGTCGGAAGCTTAGATCTGAAGGCATCAGTGGAGCCAGCCAAGGTGGGATCCCCCACCGATGTCCCTTCTACCATCGCAACAATAAGGAGGGAATTGAAGGAAGCCCACACCAGCTCGTCCTAGTGCCCAGTTGAACATATTTGGGTGTGTGTGTGTGTGCGTGGGCGTGTGTGAAAGGATCGAGATGGACCTAGAGGGGGGGGGGGTGAATAGGTACAATTACAAATTTTAATTGTTACTTAGCAATTTTGGGCAATAATGCGAAATATGAAGTTTAGCCTAACAATTGCAAGTATGATGCTATGAGCTAAGCAAGGTAACCAAGTAACACAAGTAGGAGAGTAAGCAAGTACAATATGATATAAGTAAGACTAAGAGACAGGTAACCACAAGTAGGGAGTTAGGGTTAGGGATAACCACAACTCCGAGAGATGAGGATGTATGCCGATGTTCACTTCCTTGGAGGGAAGCTACGTCACCGTTTAGAGAGGTGGATGTTACCACGAAGGCACACCAACGCCACGAAGGCTCACCCTATTCTCTCTTTGAGACAACACCATGAAGGCGTTTCTCAACCACTAGCGGTAGACCTTGGGGTGGTCTCCGAACCCTCACAAACTTTCCAGGGGTAATCACAAAGTTCGATTCCTCTCCGAATGACTCCTACTGCCTAGGAGTCTCCAACCTCCAAGAGTAACAAGAGCGTTGGGAAATGCTCAAGAACTTGCTCAAATCACGAATTCCTTTGGTGAAAAGAAGGGGAAGGAGTGGATCTATCACTTGATTGGAGAACTTCTCTCAAATGCTCCTAAATCCCTTGGGGATCTAGGACTTGCTGTTGGGGATCAAGAGAGGCAGTGAGATGTGTTCTTAGAAAGCTCAAAGTGAATGGTCAGTCTTATCCCGTGACAGGGAGAAGGCTATATATAGTGATAATGTAAAACAGACCATTGAGCCACACAGTGTGTTGGAGCTGTCGGACGTCCGGTAAGTACCGGACGACTGGTGACTCAGATTGGACCGGACGTCCGGCCGGGCCGTCGGTCGTCCGGTCGTTGGAAAGCCTACCAGGCCACAGAAGTCGCATGGGCCACACAGCCAGCGGACGTCCGGAAGACGCCGATCGTCCGGTGGCCGGACATCCGATGGGGTCGAAAATCCATTAATAACCGTTCTGTTGGGTCAGTACCGGACATCCGGAGAGGAATGGCCGTCCGGTGACCGGTCATCCGTTGAGACCGGACTTCCGCTAATATTCATTCTGTGAAGATGCACCGGATACCCGGGGAGAGCCGGATGCCCGATCGGCTGTGAGAGGTCGGACATAATCTTGAGACATAATCCGCTAATATATATCCACACACGGTCCTTGAGACATAATCCTGAGATGTACTTGAGACATAATCCTTGAGACATAATCCTGAGATGTACTTGATAAACATGATTAGTCCCAATATGC